ATGATGGGGACTCCAGCCACACTGTGACTTCTCATGATGGGGACTCGAGCTACACTGTGACTTGTTTAAGAATGAGGAGTCCATCTTTAAAAAGAAAGCCGGCCATGTGTGCCACACTCTTGGCTAACAGACACCGTAACAGGTCCTGTATAAGCAAAGTCAAATGCAGTGTATGGAAAGCAACTCAGAGTACAGCAAGTTCCCAGGCCCTTGCCACTGTAAGGGCTCCTGAGAGGAGGGTGCTGAGACTGGGCACAGTCAATCCTGGAAGTCTTCCTGAGGGCGGCATCCAGAGAAGGAGCAGAATGCAGAAGTCCAGACCCATAAAGTGGAGGCACTGGGGAGCTGGAAGAACAATGCCAAGAGCCTTAATTACCTTTTCCAGAAGCTGCCCCACCCCACCCAAACCTCCCACATCTGTCTCCTCCGGGACTGTCCTGGGGTTTGCTATGGAAAGGGGCTGGGAGAAGCAGAGGTTCCCTTGGGTCTTTGTCCCTGGCTGGGATCCTCACCAGTCTGAGCAGCTGGAATGGAATGTTCCAGGAATGAAGGTCCTGCCCCTCCCCCACCGCTCCTCTCACGGAGCTCCCGGGGCTGTTCCAGAGATTCCCAATATGGTGATGCTCTAGAGCAGTGGTTCTCAACCTTCCTAACGCTGCGACCCTTTAACACAGCTCCTCATGTGGTGACCCCAACCATAAAATTATTTTCGTTGCTACTTCATGACTGTAATTTTACTACTGCTATGAATCGTATCTGTTTTCCGGTGGTCTTAGGCAATTCCTAAGGAATGTTATCTTTGGTGTTCTCTCCTGTCCTAGGCAGAGTGGTTCTACCGTTCACAAAGCCCCACTATGAGGCAGCGAGTAGGACTTCTTACACCCAGAAGTTAGCTCTTCTCTAGTGTTCCCTGAGCTGGGGAGATGGCCGGAGGGTAAGAACATGTGCTGCTCTTGTATAGGACGTAAGTTCAGTTCCCAGCACCCACATCAAACAGCTTACAGGTGCCTGTAACTTCAGTTCCAGGGGGACCCCACACTTGTGCCTTCCAAGGGCACCTGCGCACACGCACACACACATAATTTAAAATAAAAATAAATCTAAAACAAAAGATTTAAAGCCGGAAGGTGATCATCCACGCCTTTAATCCCAGCACTAGGAAGATAGAGGCAGGCAGATAAGAGTTCAAGGCTAGTCTGGTCTATAGAGCAAGTTACAGGACAGCCAAGGCTACACAGAGAAACCCTGTCTTAAAAAAACAAAAGATTTAAAAAGGGAAAGTCATTGCCCCAAGCTGAGACAATTCAATTCACCCAGACCAGATTTCCGGCCTGTTTGGTCTACTTTGGGCCCTTCTGCCTATCACAGAACATGTGGTCCTGCTCTCCTGCCACCAGGCTCTTTGCTCCCTTGGCACCACACTTCCTGCCCAGGTCTTCAGGGAGGGGAGACAGCTGGAGGCAATCCTCGGCCGTGCATACAGCCCTGAACATCCTTGGCCCACCCTTGCCATAAGCCAGGTATGTTGAGTCAGCTTGACTCACCCCCAGAACCCAGACAACCTAGCAAGGGTGTGTCCAGTCCTGGGGGACAGGGTACAAGACACACTTCGCCACCTCTCCAGCAACTTATACCTCTCTCCCAGGACAGGACCCATTAGAAACGAGAACTCAGAAGTCCCCCCAAATGGTGCTGTCATTAGCCCACTGAACTTACAGGTTCTACGCCTTTGAGGAAGCCATCTGCCCACCTTGGCCCTCAGACTCATTGGTGGCCATGGGGATAAGAACCTTGCTTTGCTGAGTGTTTGAGAAAAATGTGAACAATGGGTATAGAATGCTTAGCGTGACGCCCCGTGTGAAGGAAGTGGTTCATTTATCCCAGAACTAAGGGTTCTCTTCTCTCATCACTTCTGACAGGGTGTAGTCAAGGAATAATGGGGGAAGAAATAGGCTGGGGATTTCCCACATTTCCCAAACACTTCCTCCCCCGCCTAGAGTCTCTCCAGCTGAGCCGCCAGGGCACCTGAGTGGTTCCCATGGAATCAAGCCGGTCTGGGACACCTGAGTCTAGACCTGTCACTTCATCAGCCACCTTGGTTGTTGGGTGGTGGCAGGACTCAGTTCTGTCATCCGTAAATACAGAACTGACTGGGTGGGGACAGTCAACAGTGGAAGCCTCTTTCCAAGAAGTCTCTCCTACTGGATTCTCTCCTTGAAGTCAGGGTCCCCTCTGAGCCTCTTCTAGAGTTGTGCTCCCAGAGGTGATGGATACAGATCAGAGACCCCCAGGCTCTTCACGCTGGAAGCCGTCACGGGAATCACTCCTTCAGTAACGGACCCAGGACAGCCATCACCACTTACTCTGCAGACCCTTACAGCCCAAAGCCCACAAGCCTGAGGACCACGGGGAGGGGGATAATTGAGGACTGGGCACCCGAAACAGAACACGCTCCAGGCCACGCCCCCAACTCTCACAGAGCAGCTCCACACTGCCCTCTGGTGGCACTGCTGGGACCAGCCAAGAAGCAAAGGGGCTATGTTCCTCTCCTATTTATCGAGCACCCAGATTCGCTGGTTGACATAATGTCCTCATTGCACAGATCCCCAGGGTCCCTGAACTTGCCCAGTCTGCAGGCTTGGGGCCGTCAAGAAAGTATTCAGCCAGAGCTACACAGTGAGACCTTGTCTCTCACACACACACACAAAAAGTGTTCAAGAAGTTGGGAAGTCATGTGGAAAGAGTGCTTTCTGCTCAGGGGTAGAGTAATATTAGCCAGACTCCAAAACATAACTTCCAGGGTCTGGGGATGTAGCTCAGTTGAGAGCGTGCCTGCCCTTCTTGGACCAGGCCCTGGGTCCAACATCAACACTACATAAATAAAGCATGGTGGGGTATGCACCTGAAACCCCATCATTTGCGGGGTGGAGGCAAGAGATCGGAAGTTCACAGTTGGGACCAGACTGGTAAAGATGCCTCTGCCAGGTCTGACCACCTGAGTTCAACCTCTGGGACCCACTTGGTGGAAGACAGAACGGATTCCTGCAAGTTTTCCTCTGACCTCAACACGGCACTCTGGCACAGGTACGCCCCTCACCCACCCACAAATAAGTAATGTTTAAAAAAAAAAAAAGTTCAAAGTCATCCTCAGCTATTTATGGAGGTTAAGGCAAACCTGTCTCAAAAATAAAATTAGACAGTAATCTGGGCCCCAATTAGGTCCCCTGGGATGGTGACATCCAGGGAAAGGTAGTTGGAGGAGGTCTGGAAAGCAAGCCCTTCAAAGTGGAGACCTTCCTGAACCCAGGAAGAAAGTGAAACTGGTCTGCTAGGTGAGGAGAGATTGGAGCCAGACCTCGGAATGCTCACAGGGCCCTAGGATGGCCAGGCAGGGTGAGAAGGTGACTTAATTGGTTGCAAAGTACACAGAAGACATATAACCTGAGGTTCAAGTCAGTGAGCTCTGTGTACCTTGGCTCAGACTTTTTTTTTTTAGGGGGGGGGGCTGGCATCTGGAATGGGAGTAGAAGGAGGGGCCATGGCTGCCTGTGCCCCCACCTACCCATCCACCTTCTCCAGCAAGAGTCTCCATGTATCCACCCACCCCACCTCTAAATCAGGTCAAAGCTGATTACAGTGACTCCCAGAGACTAACGGTGATGGCAGAAAGCACTCTCTGCCATTAGCTAAAAGCGTCTCCAGATCGGCTGCCATCCCTGCAAACCAGAAACCGGGCGGTCCTGGCGGCAGTCCAGCGCCGCAGCCTGAACACCGGCTATTCACCTCCAGGAAGTCCTGTGCTCCGGACCGCAGCACTCTAGATAACCTGAGAGGCCTCAATAAGTCCTATCCGGGAGGCCGGGACATGGCAGGTCCCCACAACACTGGTCCCAGCCAGGAGTCTGTTAGGTTTGGGACCTGATGGGGGTAGGGTCAGCTGAGGACCCCTGCCTATCACAATATATCTGACTCGCAGGACTAAAGTGCTGTGACTCTGACATCTTCCTCCTTCACTCTCTTCTCAAGCCTGACAGGAGGGACGATATTCAGAGAATGACTCAGAGAGGGGGCAGTCCTGTCCTGGGCCACTGTAGACAGGGTGTAGAGGTCAGCTCTCCCTAACTGTCCCTAATACAATAAAAAGGACACACACACAGGCCTAGGATCAGGCGCTCTCTCTGGCACGTGACCTTGAGAAATCCCTTTTCCATTCTATAAAATGAAGACTTTAAATTAGCTCCTGAGACGAGGCAGCACCCATCTGTAGGTGTGATTTAAATGAGTGAAGCATCCTACCGTGACTTACAGGGGGAAAAAAGAATCCCATGCCCCGTGGCGGCTTCCCCACAGCTCTCCTGAGAGCCAGATATACCCACGTTACCACAGACGAGGGGGCTGCCACCAGAGGCAGGGGGCAAGGCTGCCACCAGGCCAATGGGTAGGGACAGAGGAATGGGGCCCGAAGGGCATCTGTCAGGAAGAAGCAGGTGGCATTTCCAGGCTGGCCCTTTAAGGCCTCCCTTTCTGGAAGCTGATGCCATGCCTGCTCCCTTGGGGCTGTTAGAGAGTGTCACCTGGCTCCATCCCTGGCAGGGCCATCTTAGAGATACCTTGGGGAGGGCTGCTAGCTGAGCAGGTGATAAACACCCCATTCTGGTCATCTCCATCAGGTTAGGAGTATGAGAAAAGCTGTTTCCTAGAGACAGAGAGGCCTGCGTACGAGGGGGACAAATCTCCAACCTCGATGGGATCCCGTCGTCCTCCAATGGGAGACAGGGGCTCAGAGGAGGAGAATCCGGTCATACAGCCCCGAGGCAGCCTCCTGCCATCCTGGGGCCTTATTCTTCCCTCCCCAAAGAGGTGGAGCTGAGCTGTGTGGGAATCAGCAGCTTCAAGGGCAGGACTTGACTTGCGGTCCCGGGGACCCCGGAGAGGCCACGCAAGCGCAGGTGAGGGGGGGGGGGCAGATGCTGCGATATTACAGCAGGTTCCCGCTGGCTAAAGTTTGCCACCCAATCCTTCCTGAAGCCTAACGCCCTCCACTAGCTCAGCTCTGCCATCTAACCCGGCATGAGGGAAGACGCCACGACAAAACGGACACTTCTATCAGGGCCGCAGAGGTGGGAGATCCCGGGCACTGCACCCCTCGACACTGACACACCGTACCCCAGAGAGCACCCGTCAACAACACCTCACCTCAGTCTCATTTTCAGGGCCCCCCGGCCCCCCGACTGTCTCCTCCGCGTAGATGACGCCGTCCATCTAGCCAGCACCCAGACCTGTCCGTCCTTCCGTCCTTCCGCCTGTCTCAGGAGCCCAGGGGTCCGGGGTTCTGAGGTCAGCGCTGGGGGGAGGCGGGGCCGCGGGGCGGGCTGCGGCGGAAGGGCGAGTCGGGCTCGGGGCAGTGGCCG